AATTTGAACTACGTTTAATGTATAATTTCCAGCAACATTTATCACGAAATCTAATATTGTCGCTCGCTTGTTGGTAGAGCGCATAAATTCTTCATGTTAGATTGTCCTTACGTTAATTTACTCCGCTCCAGTTGCGGCTGCTTTCATAATTCATTTAATATCGCAATGGTTTTATTATATAGAGTATTTTTTTATGATAGTGCAACAAACAACAACGTACTTTCTGATTTATGTACGCGTACCGATGTATTAATTCTATTCCACTAATTTGGGCAAATTGTTATTTCCCGCTCGTATCCGTTAAAAGCACGAACGTGTGTTACATGATTGTGTGGTTTATACGTGACAGAGTGACTACTAGCAGGATAATGGCGCGCAAGCGAAATGTTAGAGCGTTCTGTTTCCTAAATTATGACCAGTGATTCGGTTGAGAGATACACGAGGACTAAGGGTTGAGAACCCCTTACCGAAAGGGATGATATGAGGAAGGGAGGAAGATGAAGTGATACCTACCAGAAATGTTCGTAATATAACACAGAATGTCCATAAATTTGGTTACCACATTGAGATAAAGATATCGTTAGATATCGCTGCAGCGTCCCAGCCAACTCGCCTATTCTACATAAAGTATTGACAAATTGCTGTTTTCGGAAAGCTATTGTGTTGCACCATTTATCAACCAATTTAATACAATATGTAAAAATCGACGCGGTTATAATAATTTTTTAAGACGCGTTTCTCTTGGACTTTACATAAATTAAAAATGCAAGTGAAAGATATCACTAAATGAGAGAAGATTTCATTTTACGCATTTAACTTCGTTGCTTTGAGTCTCTCGCCAATCTTCATTCATAATTTTGAGTAATTGTTCTTAATAATTTTGGTTTCGAAATGTTGTTGAACCATATTTTAATTTCCCAAGGACCCTGTTAATTGTCCCCAATAGACAAACTCAAGGGTCTATGATTAATTACTTTCCAAGGTGCATTATGTACCGGCAGAGCATCAAGGATGTCCTGCCTTTGTGAAATTATCTTTGAGTGATACTTTAGGCGCTCCTTAAGGACTGCGACACTTGTCAAACGGTTCATTACCTCTCGGTGGAGAATATAACGGAAAAATATTTTATCCTGGGATATCTTTTCATTCGTTGAAATTGCGACATATAAAAGTGTCGAGTAATAATTGAGTAAATACTTTTTATTATTTTACAATTACGTGCCCTTGTTAAGATTAAACAAATGTTAGTAGTCTCGTTTCTTTACGCAAGAAATGGCATTTTTGTTTGGTACACGCGACGTTTTGCATCTGTCTCCTTCACGACGTTTAATTGCGTCCGCGTTTTGAAAATGCAACCGGTCGTCAAATTTCTTCCTGCGCTTCTTACGATCTGAACAGTAGGCGAGGAAGAAAAAGGCGTGTATAAAGAAACGGCTGGTTATGACCGTTCTGCTGCATCGGCTGCTTTATATTCACATCGGTAACCCGCGCGGGTCACGAGCTCCTCCTTTTTCTTGTACGGCGTCTTTCAAGAGTACGCGTATCTCGCAAAGTTCAGATAAATGCGTCGATTCGATACACCGGATAAAGAGAGATGCAACGAAACGTTTTCAAGAGAAAAGAGTAACATGACGGGGGTATGTAGTTCTTACCGCGTTGCAACTTGGTCAGCATTCTTCTTCCCCTTTCTCCGCAATACCAATCGATTTCCTCCGCGCCAATTTCCGCGCTCATCGGAGACTTCGTAACATCTTTACTAGCTTCCTTATGTCTTGTATCGTACGCCACCTGCGTCAAAACGTACGAATAATAGGCGATAAGACCTAAATATATTTTTAAAGTGTACTGATTACGCTCCATAATCTTATTGTAATTTCGTACACTTTATTGCAATTATTTCTTATTTTACATTTGCTTGCTAGTATTTTCACTTAATTTCTTTCGGAAATTCACTGAACTCTTATTTTCTCATTACTATTTCTATCAGCGTGACTGACATTTGAAATTGCTTCCGCAGTAGTTGGAAATGTAACGGGGATTTAGATGTTAATATCTACATTCTCTTTGAACGTCCCTGCGGCCTATCTGTCATATCCGGCTATACTCGGTGCCAATGGGAAATCATATAATTACGTCAAGATATGATTTGCCAGATGTACATATAATGTTCTTCGAAGAGGGTGGCTTAAATCTGAATCAGTTATAAATTCGTGATCAATTACTTTGAGCACATTGACTGTGTGCCATCTGTATATAAATTATATTCAATTCCGTTGAAAACTCCTAGGGAGCCAAACGCGCATTTTCTCTCATAATTTATTTCTATGAAACATCACTGGAAGCTTCTTACGAAAATCTGGTACCATTCGTGTTACGACGAAATCATCTCGGAGACAGTAGAATATAACTGTAATATATTATCCACATTCCTACTTAATTTTTTGTTAAATACTCTTCACTCTCTCGGATCACATTTTACATGTTATAAAATTATTATGTCATAAAAGTGAAAAGCGATAATGTAAAAACAAGCCAATAGACTTCTCTCGGATATCATGTTTTTTTGGAAGCTTTTAACTGATTCCGTCCAGCGTTACAGTCTATTTGCGAACGAAGAACGAATTTTTTTTTCTATAGCTTCAACAATATTGTTTAATAATAAAAAGAGAAAGACTAGCGTAAAAGACAACGCTAACAAATCCAAACATTGCGCGCCAATAATCATTTAGGAAAAACATATTTCTCTCGCAGAAGTGAACGCAGTTTTTTTTTTCCGATACCATGGCGCAATGTTACGCGAATATGCAATATTTTCGACTGATCAATAATCCAGTTATAGTCGGTTATCGGCGCGGAGTTTTCACGGTAAGGTATATTTTATACTGGATAACAAAAGAGTTACATTTCTGCTCTTTCAGTGATAATAACATAACGATCTCGAACGTTACGCGCAAATACGTAATATACTTCCTACGGACGAATAGCGGGAATACGCGGTGTGAGATATTCACGTCGAGAGAGAGAAATACACGCGCTTAAAGAAATCGACCATAGAGCGGGCGTAGCGAAAAGGCGAGGTGAAAAAGAAGATTAAGAAGGGAGTAGGCGGCATCCCTTATCTTGTAACAGGTATCGTATGAAACGACGCGGGGGAGCTACATTAAGAGATAAAAGATTCCCGGACCGTAGAATTTACGACCAATTTCGTCCACCGACACGTTATTCCCGCGTGCGTTAACTCGCGCCTGACAAGCGCGTAAAGTACCTTCGGCTGTCGGCTCGCATTTTATTGGCGTCGCAGAGAACGTACATTGTCAGTGCAAAAGTCACGCCGCATGCCGCGACGAGCGATGAAATTATTACGAAATAATGCAATAGCGGTCGAACTGATTTACAAGGACAATAATTGGGATGATTGTTGGCGGCGAGGACGGCAATAACCGAGGTTAACTGTAATCTCTCATAAATTGACAAAATCGTTTCATCCGCAAATTGGACAGCTGTGTAAAAAATTTTCTTTTTCTTCTTTAAAAAGGGTATGATGTGCCGTGTACACTTGTTATCTCTGCACGTTGTGTGCAGAATCTACTATCGAGTGTAATTTTTAAAAAAGTATGATATGCCACGTACAGTAATGGACAAAATGGTGGCGACACTTTTTTTTTTTTAGTGAGTTTAGGAACATGCATTTAAATTCAGGGTTCCAAAATATTTTTCTCCAGGGAATATTTTACTCGACGGCCATTCCGAAGTTGTCTTCGAGCCGTTTCCCAAGTAAAATTTTCCTCGGAGAAAATGTTTTGGAACGTAAACCTCAATTTAAATGCGCGTTTCTAAAAAAACAATGTCGCAACCATTTTGCCTATCACTGGACGCTTGACAAATATTTCTGCACATTGGGTGCAGAATCTACTAATGAATATAATTTAAAAAAAAAGTATAATATGCCTTGTACAGTAATGGACAGAATAATTGCGACACTTTTTTTTAGTGAGTTTAGGAACATGCAATTAAATTCAGGGTTCCAAAATATTCTACTCGACGGCCACTCCGAAATTGTTTTGAGCGTTTTCGAGCCGTTTCCCAAGTAAAATTTTCCTCGGAGAAAATTTTTTCAAACGTAAACCTGAATTTAAATGCGCGTTTCCAAAAAAAAACAAAATCGCAATCATTTTGTCCATCACTGGACACTTGATATTTCTGCACGTTGGGTGCAGAATCTGCTATCGAATGTAATGAGGAGCGTAAAACAAGAAGAGGGAAAATAAGTGTTTCGCTACAGAATTGGTGGTTGAATCTTTTATTTTACCATTACCGTTGCGGCCGGGCGATAAAACTTAAGTTACAGCGTTCTAATGTTTCAAAGCGATTCCGGCGTTTTGCGGCGCGCGGTTGTTTACCCATCTCTCGCGTTTACCCTCTTGTATTCTGGGGCGCGCGCGCGCGCGCGCACATGGTAGCACGTTTGTACATATACGTACATTTCGTGACTTCATGCATATGCAGGTCTGCCGCATTATGCATTTGTTGCATGCGCAACGCGTCAAATTGCGTCGCGTTTAGTTGCCATGTGGAACGCGAATGTAATCTCCGGTGGATCTCGCGGGCACAAAATGGAGTTTCGACATGTGGAAAAAGCCACCCCCGTCCGGGAATGGCCGTCACGCACCCCACCGCAAATTATTTGTATTATTTCGCGACGCACTCGCCCGCGAAGTTTCACGCGTGGAGTGCTCCTGGCGTCACGACGATTCACTGGTCAGTGACTCGTTGTTTAATCGTTGGCGGCAATTCGTGCATAAGAAGTTTTGCAAATTCTAGGTTTAACGGCGTGAACAGTCAGTTTTTCGCGTTTGTGCTCAATTATATCTCGCGTTCTATTTGAGGGAAAATATTTCTTTCTCAGAGCACGCGGTAAATATTCTGCGAACTTTGAATTCAGATATTATACGAATAATGGTGGAACGCGCGAATAAAAGTTAACAATTGTGTTGTCGCAGGGTCGAGAAAAACCGAACACCTGAGCGATGTGAGAGGAATATATGGACGGATACCAAACGGACTGGGCAGATTCGGCGAAATTACGAACACGTGGAGGGACGTGAAGCGGGGTGAGTCGATAAATTAACTTATTGTTAGACTCACGACTGGTATTTTATTTAAAAAGTCACTGTGGAATTTGCGAGACATTAATGATAGGCGTAGTGACCCGCGTATCAGAAACTACTGCCGCGTTTAAATTTCTGATTATTTATCTTGAAACGCATTTCCTCTGGCAGAGTAAATTCACATACTTAAAAATTGATTAGTCCTTTGATGCCAATAAGCATCCGTTTATTTGAATCACATTTACTTTTTCATACGTTATTATTATATTTTAAACAACCGTACAAAAATATAAATGTAAAATTAGGTAGTTACAAATGTATGAAAAATGTTTTAAATTTTTTGGTGAAACTAAATTATTCTGTCTAGTTTAACAATGCCATTGTACCACTTTATAAATTGTGCTGCTAGATTGCTGGAAATATAGGTTCTCGATTCTTCTTTCGACCCAGTTTCGATTAACGTGCGTGGCATTTTTGTTTTTAATGGACAAAATTGTATTTTCGACCGGAGTCCATTGTACGCAAAACATTGCAGTGACGAAAATAAATGAGCTTTAATAAATGAAATTTCGTGCGACCCGAATCTTCTGAAATATGTGCGACATTGTATAAGCATTCGAATTTCATCTCACGTACGTATCACATGGTGAACCGGATGACGGATGAAGAATAGAAAAAGCGACGATAACTCTGTTCATCGAAACTTCAATTTCCAAGTTTTGATAAATTTCGCTTCTTATAAACTTTCGTTTCAACAAATAAAAATGTTTTGACGAATGTTCCTCGCTGGAAACCCGAACAAATTTTAGTATATTGTTAATCTTTGAAATTTTATATTACAAAGAGGTGTCTGGTTTCAGAAAAATCTTATATAGTTGACCTTTTGTCAAGACAATAAAATATTGGATTAGCAAATGATAAGCAAAAAAAATGCGCTTTTAAATATTACAGAGTAATTTTACCACCGAATGCGCGCGCACTGAACGGTATTAATGTTCTCGCGAGTACAAGCTAGAGCAGACACTTTTGAGCCTTTTTATCCCGAGATGGTTAGAGCACCACTCCGATAGCTTGCCAAATTCCCAAAGGGACTCTGCCTATAAATATGTATGGTAGCGTTTCCAATTTCCTAGGAAAGAGCTATCGAATGCCGAGCGGCGCACATCGCCTGAAAATGCTAAGCAACCTCCGCAGTGTGCCCTAATTATACCGTAGTTATATCGACGAGGTCATTTAATCAGGAATTCTTCCCTGCGAGTTTACTCGCGAACTCTTTTCGCGATTAACATCCCTAATTCAAAAGTGACTTCAGTCCGATTGAATTTACTTTGCAATCCTGTCTCGTTAAATAATAGAAAGAGATAAATGGCACTATATGTTTATATAAATTTGACATAGAATTATCTTATATAAGAAAAGCATATAAGTCACCAATAAACGGATGCGTTTCGTAGTTTTTACAAGTTCGTTAGATTGCATCACGCAGAAATATCAACTTGTCGCATTTATCGCCTACAACTAAGTAGATTTATTCGATTAAAAATTGACAGTTGAATGTGCGATGCCATTACTTGTGTGTTTTTTTCCAGCGTTAAGCCTGCTGTGCGTAAAAAAATTTTCCGGCAGCGGGACAATGCTGGAGGCGCCGCCCGGGAGTCGCGAAGACCTCGTAGAGGCGGCAAGAACTCCATGTACACCCACCGGTAGGTGACGTCGACGCTTTATCATAAAGTTCGAAGGGAGTTTCGGTAACTCACGAAATTTATTAGTCCGCGTAAACACGCTTTGCTTTGACTGTGCGAGCACCGAAATAGATGGCCACGGCTTGACGCCACTGTACATTATTGATAGTTGCGATTACATGAAGCAAAATGCGAATGAAACTTAGCAAATTAAGAACCTCGCCGACGACACTTGCGCATTCAAATTGGAGGAGGCGGATTATCAAACTGGCGCAGTGATAAGTTTAACAAATACATTAAGATCGCTTCACGCGATCGCGCCAACGCGAATAATAACTAACGATATTGCAAAGTGACTTTCTCGTTACCTCAGCAAAATCTGAGAATTATGTCAAGTTAGGGAATATTATAATACCTTCATACACACGGGGAGACGCGCACACGCGCACCCGTATTCAAACGCGGGAAGATTTAAGAAATGAGATCGCGCGAACGTCAGAAATTTTCCGGTGCTAACTTGATAAGCACACGAGCCCTCCATCTCGTCTATTCATGTCCATCCCTCAAACTTTATCACCGCATCACGACGGCTATCACTCACCTCCGAAAGGCAACGTTACAAATTTCCTCCGAACCAGGGTACGACGAATTACTCCCTCGTTATGTCCCATCAGATTGCATTCCGGCGCTTCCGCCCTAACGCAATAAATTAATTCCTTCCCTTATCTCCTTCTCTGCCTGGCAATTACAATTTTGCCCGGTAACGTCGTTAGAAAATTATCGTCGAGAAATTTTCTGTTGTGCCCGTCCCTCGACGCAACCGTCCTTTGTGCCGGTGTCGTAGAGAAGCGTCTCCTTGCGCGGGTGGTTGCAGACCGACACTATTTCCCTCCCCAGACCGGTGTCGCCGACACTGGTGGTAATTGACACCGTTTTCACGGCTAAACCGCTTTCCAATTTTCCCCTTATTTTCACGATGTAATAACTTACCGAGCCTGGCGTAAGTTTAACCAAGGGACGGGTCAAGGGGGTGAAAAGGCTGTTGGCGGCGGCTACTAACGGTATACGTGTACACCGACGTCTCCTTTAGAAGCCGCCGCCGAGATAAGCTCTCATTGGCGACCGAAGCGTAATCACTATGGCTTCCTGAAATAGCGCGTCAACCCCTTGCACCGCCGACGCCAAGAGTCCTTGCCGGAGGAGCTTCGATCACTCGGTGGCGGAATATCTGCGGTAAGAATTATGGTCGAACGTTGCGGCGAACTTGATCCAATGGAATTAAAATCGCAACAGACAGCCGCGATCGAAATTAAAACATGCTTCTGCGGTCAAAAACCGCAGCACTCTGTAATACGAGGTGCAAGTTGATTAATTAACTAATTGCTTTTAATCGCTTTTAATTTATCAAATTTATTTCCACGCTATATATAACTGAAATGCAAAAGCAAATTCTGTCCTGTCCAAAAAAAATAAATAAAAAATAGCGCGTGGCTTATGTAACCAGTGCCAGCGAAATGTAGACTCGCACTGCTCGAAACGCGATCGATTCCCTTTTCGCATTTTCGGGCTCCATTTTTCCGCAGCATCGGGGACGTCATAAATCTCATGAGGAAGCACTCTCGCGAGTGTTCTCTTACAAGCGAGTGACGCGCTCGATGATGATCGTGATGCAGATCGAGAAAATTGGCGCCGCTGCGGGATAAAGGCGTCCGGGGGTCTCGCATGACGCGGCCCTCCCGCGTCTCGTGTCCCCGGCCTGGGATTTCCATCTTCGCTTCATAAATCAAAATGTCGTCGATTTCGTGGCGGTCGCCCGTCCGCCGCTAACTCTCTTGCGCGCCACCGCTGCCTGGGATCGTGTAAAAGTAAATAACGACCGATCGAGAAATGTCGGCACGTTTTAAAGAGCTCGGTTTTAAAAAGTTTCCGAAGGTCTCTCTTCGTCTGCCTCCTTTCTTTCCTCGCCCACCCTATCGCCCCGCAGTTATTCTCGTGCTCGCGAAGCAACCTAGAAACTTTGGTAATTACGCGGAATTAAGCTCCTTAAAATTTATAACACGGCTTGACACATTGGTAATATAAGGAGCAGAATGAACGACCGGATGGAAGATGCAAGATAAAGAAAGATCGTGTCTTTTCCAAATTTTTCTTGTAGCAAAAAATATTATTTATATTAAGTAATAATCTTGATCGCATTAGTAATATATTAATATCTTGTGAGTGTATATGTTCGTGATATTTGGCCCGTGTAAAACAACCAATTAACAAATGTAATTGAAAGCACGTAATAATTTCCGCCAGTGATCAATCCGTTGCGTTAACTGCAGTAACCGTTTAACTTGTCTTAAGATCCGAGGCGATTAGTTTTAACCCGATTGCTCATATTATCGACTTTCTAAAAAAAAGGTATAACAATTATTATATGTTTAATATATTTATTTCAATACGCAGTACATTATCGTTGGTGTTGCAGTCTATAATGTTTAACAATAAGTACATGACAAAATGGTATGCTCTTCTCTCGTGGATTCAACATCGAGCGAAGTTATAATGCGGAAACAGTTTGCGACGAACAAGTCGACGCGCACTGAAATTAATAATAACGCGCATGAGAACATCCTGCGCCGTCTGTTGTATTAATTAATACGAAATTCTAGATCGGCAACTGTCACGCCGACAGCGGAGCCGCTTTTCTTGTATAATTAATAATGATCTTCGAAGTTACCGTAAATGTGGGCGTTTTGTTACGAACTTGGATAAATGCAGTCCGCGCAGAATGCGAAATGTCGCTAATGGGATTAAAAAGTAGGAGAAATTTAGACGGGAATGATTAAAATATAGAAGAAGCGCATCTGGCGCGCCGAATACATTAATTACTTTGCGTATATTAATGTCCTTCTTCTTCTGAATATTAAAAAAAATGTATGGCACCTTTTCTAATTAATCGTACAAAAAATTCAGATTCGGAAAATGTCAAATTAATTTTGATTTAATTGACGACGATATTTAAGGCATTTTTTTTAAACATGCAGCTGACATTTATTAAATATGACATTAATATTATTTAAATATTATGTCCACCAAAAGGATGATAAAAAACCGAGTGTGTTATTTGCAAAACTCAATTGACTTGCTGATTAATTGCCCGTAACATAATTAATGATTGGACTATACTTTGAAAGGTTATTTAAATTATCAAGTACTCGGTCAAAGATTTAATCTTACAAGATTTCGAAGATGGCAACAGCGAACTTTAACACGCAAATATGAAAGTTCGCATCCTAACGAACATACCATTATGATTTCTAGTGCTTCGTATTCTCGCTCTCCCTCTTTCTCTCTCTTTCTCTCTTGTACGATGCATATTGCGCGTTTCCATATTTATACGCGCAGGCGACCGTATAATGAAGGCACCGATAATGCGTCCCGAACACAATTTATCGGTGATAATTGACGAAACGGATTACATGCGCGAATTGCGGCTGCGATTACTATCGACATTTTTCCTTTCCCTGTGTCATCGAGAATTCGATATCGGCCGTAACGAACGACTCGATCTAATTAAACTTGCTCGCCGAGAGGGACGCGCTTCGTATCGCACGAGTGTTTGCAAATAAAACCGATCCTCCACTCGATACTCCAGGGCTAATACAAAAAAAATAGTTTCCGTCATTACGTGTCGCGCTTGTTTTCGTTTGTACTTGCCCATTGAGATTATTAAGTAATAACCATTAGAGATTATTACCAAAGTGTCACTTGCCCTTGTTGAATTAATTTTGCAAAAATTACCTCTAAAGAAGAATAATGCGAAAGATTGCTCTTCTATTAAATCAATGTGTGGCTAAGTTAGCATAATAAATGTTATGCAAAAATTTAGCAACATTATTATTTGAAGAAATTAGCTGCCACTAGTTATTACCCATTCAATATTAAATTACATTGCTTATTATTCTAGTTGAAAGACTGATTCTCGCTAAACTAATGTGGAATCTTCATTGTAACTCTTTGCCAGCCTGCTGAGGTAGCGAATGTTTGAACGATTTATAGTGCAGTTGGCAATATTTGCTGGTCAAACAAGCGAGAAAGTTATTACGTAATTTCACGCATTATTATAATATGCCACGGTGAACTTCCCCAAGGCAAACTTTTGCAGTTACGTCCGGTAAAGCGTGCAGGCTCTTGTTTGCCCCCGCGCGATGCTATCGGGCAGTAACGATGGTGACGTTAAGTCATGCGTGCTGACTGACTTACTCAGGGTCAATAGGGCGTCGCGAGCTGTGGCATTTGGTATCGGCCTGGGTTAAGGAACGAGATCAAGTGAGTGTCTCGGACAGTATGGGGCCCCGACTCGGTTTTCGAGGCAAATACACCGAGGTCCACTTGGCTAACATTGAATAATTCATAGGGTCCGACCGAGCGTCTATACGCCATCAGAGCTATGCCAATAGCCGTTGCACCGTTCATCACGGGCTATTGATTGGGGTGGCGGTTTTCCATTCTCTCTGCCCACGTTTCTGTTATCCGCACGTCAGAAATGAATACACTTCGTTAAGTGTAATTGCCTGCATGGGCAATTTACTTTGCAGACTCGCGCTTTCTTACGTTCTCTTGGTAGAAATCTAATTATATTGGTTTCGAAATAGCAAAATTTGCCTTCGATATTAACGCGTCGCTATTATATCAGTAATTTTATTAAAGTTGAAAGCTTCGAGCAGTAAGATAGCATCGTACGTCCATTAAATTTTATCTACCGCGAGCGTTAAATAGAGAATACACGCGATGGAAAAAAAGCACATATTGTCATGAAAAAAATATACCCGAGTGAAGATTCATGATAAGCTAAAATGTATATACATATATACATATGTAATGTGTAAAATGTGAGTGTGCGGGTCAGGGAAGTAAAAAAAAATTGCAGAAGTTAATGAAGCAATTACTTGACGTGAGGAAAACTTATTCTAATGAGTAAAGTTTATTCTAATGAGAAATCTTGGGGAAACATCGATTGCGAAATAAGTTTG